CTCTCTCTCTCTCTCTCTCTCTCTCTCTCTTCGTTGTTTTGGGATGGGAGGCATGAAACTTGCAAGCTGATTAATGGGTATGGGGGTTGGGGTTCTGTGGGAGTGGGGTAGAAAGAAAAGAAGGAGGGTTGTTGTTTTGATTTTTGGGATGGATGGGTTGTTTTGATAGTTTTGATTTTTGTGCTCCAAGTTTAATAATATTGATTTCTTCACCCACTTGATGATTTGAACATGTTTAGTTTGTCATTTCAAATGTGTTTGGAGTGGTTTTGTTGTTATATGCCAGATAAATTGCAAAATTGCACTTTGAGTTCATATTTTGGTCATAATCAACTTAGCTACCTAAATTAATTTTGGATGTTTGTGAAGTTAATTTGATGATGCCAACATGTTTAGAATGTATAATATGATGTGTTGGAATAGGTTTGGGACAGAAATTCGACCTACATTTTGAATTGGGACGTTTAGAAGCTCAAAAAGTGAAAAATTTGCTGCATAATTTCTGCAGATTTTCTGTCATAAAAGAGCTTCAGTGACGATCTTCAAAGATTTTCTCTGTCACAAAGGCTTTGTTTATACTTTTAGCGACGATTTCTGGGAATTTTTTATGTCACTAAAAATCAGTTTTGCTTATTTTTCCAGATTTTTATCCTATGACGAAGGCAATAATTTTGATCCAATTCCCTATATGATGTATTGTTTCATTCTTTGCTTCAGCCCATCAATCCCCACTCGGTAATTCTTTTTGTTTCTCTACTTTAAGCTTCCAATTCCCTGCTTTATTCACGAATCATCTTTTCTACAAAAACTCACACAAGGGAGGGATAGGTTCTGGGTTCTGCGCAGGGAGGGATGGGTTGCGGGTGGGGGGTGATGGCTTTCCAAGTTATGCACAGGGAGAAGGGTGGGTTGCGGGGAGCTTTGGGTTTCTGGTGCGTGGGGGGATTACAAGGACAGAGAAGGAAGGGGAGGATTTGGTGCGATTGGGGGAGAAGGGATGGGTTGGTTTTTTGTTATTTTTTTTTCTTCCTTTCTAAAATCTATTTTATTTTCTATTTTATGCTTATATTTTAATTTTTTTAAGTAATTAAAAGACCTAGATGCACAAAATTACTAAAATACCCCTGCCACGTCATCGAACTTAACGGACTTTTGGATGGAGTTAACGGTAGAGGTAATGTGGAACATCAAACCTTAGTCAAGGGGGCAAAGTGGGTCACTTTAACTTTCAGGGGGTAAAGTGAGAATTGACCTATGTTTCAAGGGGGTACTGTAGCACTTAAGCCTAATAATAATAATAATAATATGAAGAAATAACCACACAAAAAAAAATGATGGGTGGTTGCTGAAGAAGAAAACAAAAAACCAAACCTTAAGTCAAAGCTCTTAGGCCCTATTTGGTGAGCTGGACTGGATGAGACTTTTTTCAATTAAAATAGACATGAGTCCTAGCCATTGTTTGGTGGGCTTATAATGTATCATGGATTGGATGTGATTATTGGACACCAGTCCATAATAGCAAGGGCTCTAGAACCCATCGGTAGACATGGGTTTCGAAGCCAGCCGAGTCATCTTGCAAGCATGCCTCCTATGATTAGCGAGAACTTTCTCTCTCTCTCTCTCTCTCTCTCTCTCTCTCTCTCTCTCTCTTTGAGTCGACCCGACTGCGCCGTTTCACAGCACTATTATCTCATCAACGTCGCGAATCGTCACATCTTCCAATCAATCCGGCCAAGCTTGAGATCTGATTTGAAGGAGGAGCCTTGTGATTCTTGCTGATCTGATCTGATTTGTTCTTGATACCTTGTGATTCTTGCTGATAAGATTTGTTATTGAGATCTTATGGGGACTTGCAATTCTTGCTGGTAGATTAGTCAAATTGCATTTTTGAGAATTGAATTCATTATTTTTAATTATTTTTGTATTTTGCTATTTGTGTTCCAGTCCTACAAGCTCAACTTGGTGTTTATTACACCAAACAACTGTTTAAAATCCAATCATATCCTAACCAGTCCAGTGTAATATATCTAATACAGTCCAGTCTAGCCTACCAAATGAGGCCTTAAGTCTCGAGTACCAGGCCTTGATTAATATCATATCAATCATAATCAAGTTATCATCAATTCAACGCAAGGCTTGGGCTAGCTTCTTCAATGCAAGGGTGATTGTTTGTCTTCAATTCAAGCTATAAGTCATAGGCAGGTTACGTCTTTTTTCTTCTTCTTCATTTTTTTTTGGGTCCTGGTTCAAAATGACGTCGTTTTGGTTAGGATTTATAAAATAATTAGAAAAAAAAAGAGGATGCATGCTGCGCGCAGCAAAGGAATAGCTCGCTCAATCATTTAATCGAACAGTAGGTGGGCACCTCCTTGCGCCTTGGTAGGTTCGCCACTGTCAATATTGACTATAACAAACACACACACATATATGTCTAATATATATCATGCTAAGATTTCAAAAAGACGAACCCACGACCCACTATTTTTTTTTTTGGTTGAACGACCCACTATTAGAAACACCGATATTGTTCCCAACTTAACTACTTACAAAGCCCAGTAGAGTAGATGTGGGGTTTTATCACAAAAAACTTCAATGTTATTAGTAGTAGAATCACTTATTATTTGTTGTACTTTACTTTGTCAAGTTTCCGATGTGGGACTCTTATCCTTCAACATGTACTACACATAAATATGGTCCCTAACCTTAATTTTGTTTCATTTTTATCACACACTGCACATGATGACAGATATTTTTGTCAAAGCTATAATAATCTAATTCTCTAGCTTTCTTGTCTTTTTTCCTCCCACTCTCTCCCACAGCCTCTCCATCTCTCGCTTCTTCCCTTTCATTCTATGCCTTTCTCTCTTAATTTATTCTCTCTTATTCATGAGTTCTTGAAAGTCATTTGGCATCATCAAAACTTAATGAAATTGGAATAAATTTTGATAGAAGTTGAAACGTGTACTTGAATTGCTTCGAATTGAAAATTATAAGGACAAAATGACTTTATGCTTTCTATTATTTGAGTTGGCATATACGATTTTTTTCCTTTGTTTTTTGAGTAAAACTAAAACTTTTTCAAAGAGAACAAAATATCCTGTGACAGGCGCGGAAGCGCGTGTAGAGAGGCTAGTATATATTTGATTTGCAAGAGAAAGAGAGAGAAAGAGAGAGAGAGAGAGAGAGAGAGAGAGAAAGAGAAAGAGAAAGAGAAAATAATAATAAAATATTTCAGATTAGCCAAAATAGAGAACATTGCTGGAGGAAACACTTTTTAAGTGGTTTGCTATAATAGCTTTCTAGCTATTTTAGCTAGAATTGGCTAAAATTTGGAGACTCTTCTGGAGATACTCTAAGTCACCCAATGAATATTGAATTATTTTTTTTGTGTACAAGCAAATTGGCGTTGAAACTTGCGAAACAATTCTTATAAATAATAAAACCTATAGGCTATAGCTGCTGGGCGAAAGAAACCTTCAAAATATATGTTATATTAATATATTATGTGTATGCAAAATTAAAGGAATGTTGTAGATTTTATTTTTTGTTTGGAGGGTTATTCATTTTATTAGTCCCTGAACATAGATTCGATTTGCATTTGAGTCCCTCAATTTCCAAAATCGTTCCCGTAGTCCTCTTCAACTTCAATTTTGTTAGGACAAATGATTATGTCGTCAATTTTGCTAACTTTTCTGTTAAATGCAGGGGTAAAATGGTATTTTTTTTTATATTTTTTTAAAATTTAAATTGATTAAAATATGAATAAAATATTAAAAACAAAAAAATAAGAAATTTTTTTTTTCAAGTTTTTAGGAATAAGAACTAATTTTTAATTTTTACTTTGACGGAGGATAGGAATAAGATTTTTTAATTTTTTCTTTCTAATTTTTAATTTTATTTTTTGGGTGAAAGAAATATTCATAAATTGGAAATTAAAAATAATACAAAAATACCATTTTACCCTTGCATTTAACAGAAAAAGTTAACAAAATTAACGGTATGACCATTTGTCCTAACGAAACTAAAGTTAAAGGACTACGGGAGCGATTTTGAAAATTGAGAGACTCAAATGCAAATCGGGTTAAAATACAGGAATTAACAAACTGAATAACCCTTCGTTTGGAGGTGCAAAGTTAAAACAAATATTAATAATATAATGTACAAAGTCATTAAATGGGGCCCCTTGCTGTGTAAAAGGCACACATTGAGAACGCCCCAAAGCCACCCGTCTGTGATATGACTAGCATTTTTCCATATCAAATTGCATGCTTATCCATAATCGGGAAAAAAAAAATTGTATAGAATTTATGTGTTTTGAATTTCTCAAAGGATAATATAGGAAAATTTATCACCATATAGGTCACTAATTTAGGAAATATCCAGCTTTT